AGCCGAACTAGGATTAAACCTGTATCTCAGCATGCAGCGCCTAACCCCAATGGTAACAAACTTTAGCCAATTATAATTGGTGATCAAAACTCGCACAACAAACTACTTAAACAATTTGGAAAATTTAGAAATAAAGATAACTTAAATATTAAAAACATGGAAAATTCGTCAAGAAATGAACACAAACCAAAAAAATAGTTAATGCAAAAGGTTAGCTATGTGCATGGGTAAATGTGAGTATGCGTGTGAATGCGTGTGTGTGTGTTTAAATATATATGTGTGTGTGTGTGTGTGTGTGTGTGTTGGGGTAGAATGTGCGTGTGTGTGTTGGTATGTGGGAGATAGATTTGTGGGTGAAATGTGTCAGGGCACGCATTAAGCGACAATTAAGAGAATCAGGAGCGGTGACCAAAAAGTTACTATTATAATAATAATACTATTGAGTTATTTCACATATAGCTTCAGTATTATCATATCCTAGACCAAGTAACCAAGAGTTAATCTTCCTTTTACATTGAATATTGTTTAATGTATAAATAGATAGCTCCTTATTAATTTTATTGTATACATACGTACCTAGGAATATAAAAAATCTTTGAATGAAGCTCGTACGTATCGTGCATTCTTGGTTACAGACTATGTCAAAGCGCCTTTTCTGTAAGATGGTAGGGTCAACAACAAGTTCTTTATGTTTTTTCAGTAAAGTGCATAAAATGAAAAGTTGTCTTATGCTTAGAGCTAATATCTGAAGGCGAGACTGGTTTGAAAGATCTTTTCATTCGTTGGTTAAGCCGGAATGAATCTAATAATCCGCCTGTTGTGAGATTTTTTTGTGGTACTGTAGTACAGGCAGCTTAGGTTTGTACTAGTTTATATCTAGAATTGTATAAAGAATAGAAGGTTGATGTCAAAAGGGCAAGATGGTAGTTCTGGACAAAGCTTTCAAATTGAATACTGGTAATAAAATTTTATTTATGAATATAATCCTCGTTTCTCATTGAAATGTGTCTCTCGCTGCGCTAACCCACAGCTACGACCCTTTACAGTACCTACCACGTGATCGTCTTGCGGCCTGCTAGTGGTAAGCGACACGCCTGTCCATAACAGTTGCATTAACCACTCAGGAGCTTTAAATCATAAAGATCTGAGGGGCATTGTGCACGTCATCTTGAGACACAAGTTGACAAGGTATCCTGTGCCTGTAATTTCACCAGCCACCAGCGCAACAATTTTAAGATTTAATATTATAGAATAAAGCACTTCAATATTCGCGAAAAGTGTTCTTCCAAATGTAGTCATTGTTCCGTTCCTTCGGCGCACGCGCCAGTGGCCTTGAGTCAGCCTAATGACTGCGACAATACGCAAATGGATGAGCATGACGCACGACCAGCTGCCGATTCGATTGACTATAACTTTATTGACATTCTGCACTCTAATACAAATTTTTCGGTTACGAGAATGATGGAGGTCTGTGACAAATGGGAAATTTAAAATTGAATATAATTAACTATACCTCTTCCAATTATTCCTGTATTCAAAATTATGACAAATTAAAAAATAGTAGATATAATAGTAGATACCTATTAAGGTTTTTAACATCTAACCGATTAGAATAATGAAGTGATCTTAATTTTTTGGTACAGTCAAGAACATACACTAAGTTATACACTTTTGCCCGAATATCGCCTTCAATGCAATTGAGCAAGATCCATCAATGTGTAACGTTGATTCGTATTTCTTTTGTAGAATGGAAAACGAAATGCATGTAAGAATATTTACATTTGTTTTTCAATTTCGTGTCACAACATTTCTCAAGACATATTTTACAAAAAAACGCTTGTATCTGACGATAATTGGCGTAGTAAAGTGGTTTAATCTTGAATTTTTGTACGGACGACGGTAGCATTATTAAGCTGCACATTGACGGATCTTGTTCCTTTGCTCCGGAGGCGAAAACTGTATATACATATATATAAATAGCTCGGTGTGCTGCTGAATTTGTATATAATTGCTGTGTGTAATTTGTATATAATATTAATAAGAGACGCCAAATTGCGGTTGTCATTTGAAATTCTTTCGCGTATAAGTTCTTAAATGCAAAGAGGGCAAACTACGAGTACGTGTAGAGTTTTGGGTTGAATTTTGTTTAGAATTCTTTGTAGAATATACCTATGCTGGTTACGTCAGTACTATGATTATCAGGTACGTCTAAACATATCAACTACAAAGAAATATTAAACATGACCAATTTGAAGCTCCGTGTAATCCAAACACAGCCAACACAACGGGAAGTGGAAACAATTTAGTACAATTTCCGGAAACCGCGCTAAATGGAGTGTCATTCAAGCTTTATTTACAGAAGATGGCAAATAATATATGAAACTTACACGTCTGAAGTGGAGTACCTTCCTCGAACCATTTTTGTCAAACAAAACTATCACTCAAAACACTAGAGTAGCCCTGAGCTCTGCATGAGTTTCACTACTATTCTACTATCACAAACATCTCTGTTTAGAGAGTACTTAGATAAATGCTATTTACTCGGTGTACTGTAAAATTTATTACTCGAAAGCCAGTGCAAACTTTGGCGGAACTTGGCAATACGTCGCCGGCAAATTACGCTTTACCCTCTAGAGCGTTGGTACCGTATTAATAGAATCCACCCAAATAAACATAGTAGCTTAGAACACAGCACTGCGTAAACGGAATTTGTAATCACTAGGAATTTGCTCTCAAATAAGCACGGAGAGAGTTCAAGTTCGTTCGATGGCGTTCGAGTCAGTAGTTCGGTTGTTTGGTAGCGTTCGGATCGGGAACTCCGCGCGTCTCCCGCCGCGTGCTCCGACTGCGGCGCAGGCGCAGCGCAGGCCGAGGGAAGCGACGGACGTCGACGTCGGCCCGATTCGGTGCGGGCGCTCGCGTCACTCTACTACGGCAGTCGACAACAAAGTGATAACAAAACCTCCACTACTAACGATACTACAGTTTGATCATACGTGCGCCTACGCTTTATCAAGGCGCAGATTTCACTCGTGCCTTGTTGGAGCATTGCCAACGACGAACGTCGATTGCTATCGTTGCGCTCCTCGTAAGAAAAACTTGCGAGGTCATTTGGGAACATCTGGACACTCCTAAAAATGGTATGCAAAATTTGGAATAGGTATTTTCCATTTAACAAAAATGTTAGTAGGTATAGAGATGTTAACATTGCGTAGCTGCATGTGACAATTTATATAACGTTGTTGACGTCCTATTTTTTTTTATGATATCAAGCAACCACCTATCCACGACATTGCACTGCCACTCTATACTGCTTTAAATCGCACAGAGCTGAGGGCCACTGCCACAGCACCCGTCACCCTAATACACAGGTAAGTTGACAAGCCCCATGTGCCTGTAAAATGATAAATAAATCTAGTACCATGTCGGATAAGTTCAGATCATTGCTCAAAATACCTAGAGCAATGTCAAGATTTGTAAAATCTATTAATACACAGTTGGTAGCACACTTCAATAGTGACGGACGAGCTCTGACTCCTATATATTACATCATACCAGCTCGAGTCGCCAATGAATAGTGGTCGTATGAATGAGCCAGTTCTATTCATTCTACATAATGTAGACACAGTCTATTTACACGTACGTTTTGTTTGTTTTCGACGCTGTATCAAGGCTTTACAAATTATAATCAAGATTTTGTGTCACCTAATTTCACGAGCCATTTGTTATTGTCTTATAATCTCTTTCATTTAAGTTGTACACCCATTACATTTACATTATACCAATTAAAAAAGAGCATTTAAATTAATCTTGGTGACGCTGCGATTACGGCCTGAACACTGAGTACACATGAGGAGGTCATAGTGTAGCACGTCACTACTTACTACGTATTTTCTTAGCTTGGCGTTGCATGCAACTACGTGAGCTAAGTTAGCTTACCTGGCGTAGTTGGTTGCATGCAACTACATGAGCTAACTTAAGTTAGCTTCGCTGGCACAGTTGCATGCAACTACGTGAGCTAAGCAAGTTAGCTTAGCTTCGTTCGCGGTGTGGCCTGCGCTTCAAGTGTTTTCTGACTGGCTTACATTTAGTGTCGATAAGTGTGGTGGCTCAAAAACTAATACAACATTTAGGATTTTCCCCGAAATTCCATATCCAAAAATTTATGTGTGTGTGGACTGGGGGCCCACATGATTTTTGCCAGTTGTAGAGACTGGAATGTTTAGTACAAGTTGTAAAGCATTTTGTAAAACGCATCCTGGAATTTGTAAAGCTATACCACTTAAGGTGCGATCTCTCAGCTCTCACACCAAAGTTTCCACTTCTGGGCAAGTATTTAGTTTGCCGGCGGCATATTTTGTTAACAGAAATTTAGTAAAAACCTCTTTGAACATTTACACAACGAACAAAACATAATTAGGCAATGATTATATATTATTACACTGTTCGTTATATGGTCTCCGAGGGCCCACCATTAAAAATAACGTATAAATGAGCAAATTAATTGTTTATATTATTTATCCGCAAACTTTAGTAAAAATTACAAGGAAGATTGTAAAAGCAAAAGAAACCCACAATTACGAACCAATTTCGTTGAATTTCATATTTATTTGTGGTCCCTCCACCATATCCTAAAATATAAGCAATATAGAAATAATCGTCCTATTGAGGTGTCAAAAAGCTTTACTATATACATGTTTTTTTTAAATGGATTGGTGGCTCATTATACAAGATAATTGCTTTTCAATGTTTTCTTAGCCATGTGCCTAGTAGGGTGTCCTAAATTTCTGTTAACAAAATATAAGCCGTCAAACTAAATACTTACCGCATACGTCACCTTAGGAGGTAGAGCTTTTTAATATATGCTTTACAAATTCCTGGATGCGTTTTATAAAATGCTTTACAACTTGTACTAAACACTCCATTTATTACAACTGGCAAAAATCATGTGGGCCCTCAGTCCACACACACATAAAAATTACAAGTACAAGTAAACTTACCCAGTTGGCTTGGCCATGGTGAACTCCTTAGCGTGAACGTTGAGCTTGTTGGATGAGGGCGCAGGCGCGGTGGCAGAGGTCGTTGTGGCTCCCGCCGTGGCGCCGTCTGTGCGTACACCTGGTGGTCATCCAGTGGTCAAGGAGAAGAAGAAAGAAGCTGCTTTCGCAAGCAAGATAGAGAAGAAAAAATTTTGTTTGGGTGTTAAACCTGTCGTTTATTTGTTATTGTAAATTAGAAACATTCAAACCGATCGGCAGGGCCTGATTAAAAGAATACGTCGCCAAAATTTTAAATTCGAAAATCTAAAGTCTAATAACAAAAAAAATAAGCCAACATTCATTCATATGTTGTAATTACAACACCTACATAGCCAGAAAGCTTTTCATTATGAACAACTAAGATGGCATTCTAAAAGCAATCAACAACAAGTTATCATCTGAAAACCGTGGATATAGTGGTATTTATGATAGTGGTGGTATAATAATAACATAGTTACAAACTCTTGATTATACGAAAACTATTTTTTGATGGTCGTTAAGAAGTTATCATGGATAATTTTATTATGTAAAATAATTTAAATTAATAATTTCAACAGCAAACCAAGCATTATGTCAGTGTTTTATATCTATATGTAGTTAGGGCGTATAAATAAATTTAACAAAATAGGTTATTAATGTAGTTTGGTTAAATTTTCATACTCTTTCAATTTGTCTAGTCGAATGGTTTCATTTTATAGGTATGTATTTATCTAAACATTTATATAGTTTTCAGAATTTAATGATTTTGACATTGATTTTTTTCTTACATAATTTTTGTTTTGTTGTGCACGTAAACCTGTTATTGGATTATTGTCCCCTGTGTTTAGGTCTGCAGGAAGAAATTTCTATTAGAAATAAGCAGTATCTTTTGTTTGTGTTTTCCTTGTTACTAAATGTTTTTTTAATGTGTTGTTTTTTCTGTACAATAAAAAATAGAAATGGTTTGTTATATGGCAAATAAAATGTTTTTTTATCATAAAGACCAAAACCAAAACGTTTATTATAAATATTATTTTTCACTTATTTTGTTTTTACTTTGTTTTTACAAGTTTATACTTTGGCTTTTAAGCACTTTCTTTCCCGAAGTATCATATTAAGAGGTGCACACAAAAGGAGCCTGTCCGCACGACGTACCATACCTTTCCTGTAATTCTGGCGCACACTGGGCAAGAATTGGCAAGTACCGAAAGCCGACTGGCAAATCTTCACATCACTATGGCAAGTAGTGTATGCCATCCATACGATAAGGCGAATATGTATATTTTTATACACTCATGGTTTTACACAATGATATTATACCGTTTTACATAGGTATTTGGTGATAGCTAGTGAGTGGAGGAATACTGAATCCAGAAATACAAGCATTAATTATTTCAATGTTATTATTGATAAAAAGATCATACAAACACAGAAAATTGATTCGATTAGAACCAGCGACTGTTACCTCAACGTGGCTATGGGAACGATGTGATTCTTTTACTATACAACACCTTGTACACCATTGTGGAATTCAAAAGAATATTGAATATTTCTATTATTTGAAAAATAGTCAATCTCTGATCTCTCTCAACTTGGATCAGTAAAAAAATTGTTAAGTGGCCTGAATTGCCCCCACTGGTCTCCTACAGAACCACGTCTGCCGATCGGTGTAATGCAACTATTGACATCAATAAAATAATATTATTTGTATTTTTCTAAATAATTTAGGAAAAAATAATTATTTGATTACCCACATAAAAAGTTTTTTTTTGTAATTGAATGCCATTTAATTTTGTTTAATTGAAAGCTATTTAAATAAATTCGTGTAATAACAAACAGTTCCACGAGGCTGACTTACCATAAACAAAACGCACATTTAAAGACCGCCTCAATTATAATGCATTAGGTATACGTTCACATTAAAACTATTTTATAGAATTATTTTAATGTACAATTACAACGTATAACAAACAAACGTTTTGCCCATCTCTACATACCGCGAGCTCTGTTCGAAAAGAGCTAGCTATGCTGTCGTATGTTTTAGACGATAGAGTCGCAATTCTTCAGCAGAATATTCAATCACGAGGGCCTACTTGGTCTAATAGTGCCGTAACAAGGCAGCCTAGATAGCGATGCGTGCCTCGCAGGCGGGGGGGCAACGCGCTCCACTGACTGCAACCAACTTTCGCGATAGGTCCCAATAGTGGTAAATCCACAGCGATTCAAGAAATAACGTTATGATAATTTTTTTGTCTGAGCATGCATTGCTACTTATGTACTATTTATGGAACCAACAACATTTTTATCTACGTGTAGGTATTTAAGATGTTGAGAAAGCATTACTAACTAGAATTCATTATTCATTAAAACTGAGCTAGAATTTAAACCACTATAAGAAAGAATGCTGCGATCCGTTTCGACGTAAACAAACCTGGAGTTTCTGTAACGGTCTGAATGGCGGGCGTAGTGGCCGTAGTAGGTACGGCCACGGTGACCGCCACGGGTGGCGCAGCTGCGGGTACAACTACCGGCGCCACAGATACTGGGCACACCGTCACCGACGTCACCGGCGACACCGCCACCGGCTGCGCCAGCGACTGCTTCACTATACACCTCGACATCGCCCTACAGCTCGTTCGAAATTAACAAAATTGCCCCAGCACGCATGGAAAACAACGAGCACAAACACGCTTGACAATCGCGACAACAAACATGCGACTGTCGACCCGTTCCAAATATGAATTTGTTTATATTTAATTTTGGCGCCAATTTTGCGTAGTGACGTTAGCCAGCCAAGCTTTCCGCGCGAACTAGCTATCCGATCTCTTTGATTCCTGATTGATATAAATAGGTTTGCACCGAGAAGGCAACACACGGTTTGTTTGTTTATTTGGAGATCGAAAAATTCGGATTTTAAACGCACTTCCAACGCGTCATTCGGTAACATATTTAGGTACTATAATGAAAATAATATTTCCTTAAAAACTAACCTGGTGGTCTGTATATCTCCAGAGTCGGCTTTCCTTTCGCATTAGTAAGGATCATACTCCGTCGTTTCCCATTGTGTGGAAACTGAAAACAAACAACCGTGAAAACATGGATCGTCTTTGAAGCTGTGAGAAAAACGCACCCTAGATATCTCAACGTAGAGTTTTGCTGATCTCAGATATCTCGAAAACTTACAATTTATCCCTACTAATAAAAATCATAGACATTTAAAAAAGACTTCATGCATCAGAAATAAATGTGCCAGCTTAATTGAAAACGAAGTAATTACATAAACATGAAATATAATATCGCATCCACGGAAGAAAAAAGCAATGGAAGTGCCTTGAGGCTCGATTACTATCAGAACCGTTGTCACCAAAAACATCATCACCTCCATCGTATTATGTTCTTATTATAACTAACGTACTTAATCGACATTTTTACGAAATTAAGTTATTAACACATCAGCAAAACTAGATCTACAACCCCCTCTAATAGGTTTTTTTTGTATTATCTTATTTAATTTCAATTTTCGTAAGTTTTTTATTGAATATCAGGATATTTCACCACCATGAAATTCAATTTTTTTTTTAAATTACTTCACTAGTTTGTTATAATTATTACTTAATACAAAGATCGAACACTTAGAAAAAATCGATCCGGCCGGATTAGAACGGACGTCTTCTAGCAAACCGTGTCAGACGCTACGCCAACTAAGCCACGGAACGAACCAGCGGACCTCATGAATTTTTCTATGTGCTTTGTGTCGTGTCTTTGTATTTGGTTTTTCAACGACGTTTTTGTCCCAAAGCCGTTACGTAAGTAGAATTATATGAAAGTATATCTTCACCCAGTTAGGTACCTTTACATCTACCAGCCCTGGCTGAAGATATCCGCTGGTTAATTCCGTGACGTGATTCTAGGCGTCTGTTCGAATGCGGCCGGATCGAAGGAATTAAATTTTCATAATTGACATTTTTACTGGCAAAAAAACTTTAGGTGACAATATCTCGAAAGTTATCGATTTCGTTATTGAATTACAAATGCGTTAGTACCAAGGAAGTAAGTAATAACTAAGGCCACATTTGCAAAATGATAAATTTCAGGAGAAAGGGTTAAATATCGTATGAAGGAAATTGTTCTATAACTTTTTTAAGTAGGAGAGTTATACCGTTAGTTCGTTATTTTTATGACTTTCATGTGATAAAAACACTTTTAACGAATGATCACATCGCACCTCTCATGGAAGAATGGCATAACCGACAATATTAGTCGACAGAGTTACAAGAATTGGACAGCATGTGGGTTGTATTTTTCTGTATCTATGGGAGGAATAAACATTTTTGACGTAACTTTACGTATACCATTATTCCATGGGGGGTGCGACATGTGGGTTTATTATAGTCAAGTGTAGGTGTGTATAACGGCATACCTACATTAAATTGAAATAGGTACAATAAATAGGCCTCTACAGTATCACCATAGCAAAATGTTTAACGTAATAGATTTTTTTACATATTCTGGAAACCTTCAAGTCTTTTGTTTTCGTTAATAGATCCAAATGTTTCTTGTCAGATGTCGTGCTAGTGACAAGTTGTGTCGTATTTATTTTCAGGCTATGCGGTTGCGGCATCATCGACTAGGTATAAAAATAAAAATTTGTATGAGTAATGCTCGAGAAAACTTTCGGAAATATCCAAGCAGTGCGAAATCATGATGCGTTTTCCAATAATAGGCATTACTTTGATTTTCATTGCAATCGAAATAGGGCGCAGAAAACACACACAAAATATAAAAACAGATATTTATGCGCCCTTTAAAACATCCATGGAAGTAACTTACAATTTTAGCAAATACTAATTTACATCACAAAGATGAAACCATAGACAATAAATACACTATATAAGAGATGAAAATCTGAATCGAACTATATGTATAACATTTTTCCATCGCAATTCCATATTCATATTTCAAAATTGAAAAAGAGAATGTTTGTGTTTTAAGTAACGTAAAACTGAAAATCGTGAGTTTTCAGAAACTTATTTTCGAAAACAATAATTACCATTTTCTAAAAATTTACTTTTCCGATTAGCGTTATTGATGTCAACGTGCGATATATTAATTATTTTGGCTATAGAGCCATCAGCTTGAATAGGTAACAAATAATTAGGAACCTCAAAACGTAATAATACTTGAACTAAATTGCATTTATGTAAAAGCTGTAATACAAAAACCTGATTTTTTTTATTTATCATCATGATTAATAATTATAAAGTCAATGATTATACCCATAATTTCGAATAGACATAGAATATACTTCAAATGCAATAGAAAGAGACAAGTTTATAGAAATCATCACTCGAACGACAGTGACAAACAATATTGATAGTCGCATAATTTTTAGTTAGTATGCTTTGACACTCCTAAATCTTTTTTTAGTTAATGACCAACCGATTGTGTCATAGTTAAAGAATTGGCACAATGAAATAAAACCTGAAAATGTTTAATATGTAATGTTCCTCAAGTAAACGATATTAAAGATACCTATAAATTTTTACTACCATTACCACTATCATAAAGTTAGTAAATAAACAAATGGGTGAATATCTCATGCGTAAATTTTGCGAGTCCACGGTGAGAAACCAGGTGTAAAGTGAAGAAATATTAATGATTTATTTTTTTATAGTTTAATTAGACGTAAAATTAGTTCAGGGCAAGAATTTCAGAAAATTCATTGTACAATAATAATTAATAAAAAATATTAATGTCCCGATTTTCAATTTTGCTGGAGTGTCCACTTTCTGTTTGATTGTATAAAATAGTCGTTCTGGTAAAATGTGTACGCTTTTAAGAAAAACAATTCCATGTATGTTATTCACTATTAGAAGCACTAACTAAAATCATTGAAAGTATTGCAATGACCAGTATGTGGGATACTGGGTACTTGATCAAACTTTGTCCACGCGAAAATTGTAGTTTTGGTGACAAATATTCAACTGGTTGCAACTGGTAAGTAGTTTAACTAAAAACCATTACGTTCTTGCCCCGCGCAAGCCTCAGTCGTGTATTAGGACCTGACAGCGAAAAACATGGGCACTGTGTTCCATTTCCCGCCAAAAAAGTAATTATATGCCCTTTGGTGGCACGTGGGACAAAAAATATTCAGTTTTCCTGGCTCCGTTTGGGCTCAATTTTTGTTTTATCCTAAGGTCGTATTCTGAAACCAAATTAAGAGACTAATTTTGTCATTATTTTATCACAGTTTAATCGTCTCGGTTTGATTTTTAAGCATTTTTTTTCCCCGTAATTTTTGTTTGAGATTTTATCTTACGTGGCTCAAATTTGGTGGTTTTGGTGGCGTTTGTGTTACCCCCTTCACTTGAAAACGCCACCAAATTTTAAATTGTTATGATATTTTTGAATATAACGTTCACTTTCGAAAATTGTTTTAAAGTATTGTGGTTTATTTGTCCCAATAAACTTAAGAAAGATAGTGTTATACATAATTTTTCAGATAAACAAAAATTACTAATTACTTTTTGATCTATTTGTACCTTAGCGATCTTTTAAATTTGTATTTTACTTAAATTAACGGTGATATCATTGATTAAATGATTTTGTTGAGAACGTCAAACACGAAAAATTAGTTCATTGTTGTTTTCATTGGCAGTTGAATAACTACGATACACTACGCTATCTCCAGGAATGTTTTCTGAAGATAAATTGTAGAAACTCAAATGTTTACCATGAGTACATGCGGTGGGTTTATCGAGACACTGTGGCTTAATGCAAAATAAGGCATAGAATGCTAATTTAGAGTTGTTACTTTTTTCTAAATAACCTGAAGAAATAACACTTGCTAACTACTGGAGTAATTTCACAAAAAATAATTGAATATCATAGTGGTGAAACAGCTTGACATTCAATAAAATTCTTATTACAACCTGAAGAAAATTCATGTTACCAGGAAAAGGCCAGTCTTTTTCTACAATTTCGTAATTTTCTACAGGTTTCATTTTAATATTATCAATGGCAGGTTTCAATGCCAGATAAACGAATCAATATCAGTAATGTTGTTTTTCCAAATGACACTTTGATCTGCAATTCTCTTTAATAATCCACCAACTCCTGGGCACCCTTGCCATGGCCACACTCGCAATAATCGCGGGTGCCCCGGATGGAGTTCGAGGATTTTTAACGACAACTACAGATCAATCAGTGTCATTTGGGAATGACATTACTGACCTTGATTCGATCATCTGGCGTTAAAAGCTACCGGTAATAATATTCAAATTAAACGTGTACATTACGAAATTGTTCGAAAAGACTGGCTCATTCTTTAGTATATGAAGCCTTTTCTTAGTAACATCAATTTCCTTCAGTAATAACTCTACATTAATATTCAGTACCTTATCAACACAATCATCTGATGATGATGAGATGATGGTATTTCAGTCCAACTACTCAAGCAGGATGAAATCTGGTGGTAAAAGTGCTTATGAAACATTTCAACAAAGTTCTTCATGAAGCTCGAACACCATCATCCACAAAAAAGGCGACATTGCAAAACTTAGCAATTATCGGCCGATTAGCTTGCTCTCTCAGATTTATAAACTTTTTACAAAGATTTTGACCATCTGGCTTACCAGTGAAGTTGACGAAGCGCAGCCTATTGAGCAGGCTGGCTTTCGGAGCGGCGTCTCAACCATCGACCATATCCACACGGTTAATCAGCTGATGGAGAAATGTCTCGAATTCAACCGGCCCCTTGTCATGGCCTTCGTCGATTATGAGAAGGCCTTTGACAGTATCAAACATTGGGCCGTGTTCCACGCTCTTCATCGCTGCCACATGGATTCCCGCTACGCGGATGTGCCCCGCTAGCTCTACCGTTCAGCTACTCTGCAGGTATGAGTTCACGATTTAGCCAATCCCGTTCCAATCTGGCGAGGAGTGAGACAAGGAGATACCATTTCCCCAAAATTATTTACAGCAGCACTTGAGGATTTCGTAAAAACCCTTAAATGGGATAACCGCGGCATTAACATCAATGGTGTAACACCATTTATCTCACCTAAGATTCG